ATGTCAACATATTCTGTTACACCAAATACACAAAATAACGACCTTTAAAAAAGCATCATATGACCCCTTTAAGCCTAGGTCTAGAGACGAGTCCTTTTTAAGAGAATTTACAACATTATCTTAACCTAATCAACATTATCAATACACAAACTGACCTAAATGTTTTACTAGTACCCAACATATTGCGTGTAATTTTACATGTAACATTATCAAAAATTTAGGGTACTGCAATATAATCAAGTTCTTTTTATTCCAATTATAGAAATATAACTCCATGTTGAAAAGCTATTAAAGTCTGCATGAAATCAAAATTGCTAGTCTTGATGTAAACAATTAATCAGTGCAAGTTAATCCGCTGGGGAAAAAAAAAAAAAAAGGTTCGTCTTGGTTAGCTTTAATTTGCTTCCGCTCTGGAATGGCATTCACCCCTCTAACCGTTAAGATTGCTATGAGTAAGAGACAGAGGAGGAGTGCAAAAATAAAACCACGCCCTCTATTCAATATTCCGTTTCAGCTGGAAATATGTCACTACACTGAAATAAAGTCAGCAGCAACTTCCGGTTCACGCAGACTTTAAGCTGAATCTCTTTATACAGTGAAAATTGTAATTTCAATAACCAAAATAAGATAAAGACTTCATTAGACAAAACACACCGACTGTAAATCTCAGTTCACAATTGGATTCTAGACTCTTTACCTGAAGTGATCTGGGTAAGTCAAGAATTGGGTTCATTCTGGTCTAGGTTAATGACATTACAGGACAAATGGCTGAACAATGATATTTCACAGCATGTTTAATAAAAAGAAAGGAGTCGTTTTCTAATGGTAAAGTATTATTTCAAGCCTTAATTGCAACAATGTTACTCCTGTAATGTTCTCATTTTTTCCCAAATGTTTTAAGACTGTAAAAAGCATTTGCAAGTCTGCTCCCCTAATAAAGAACAACAATATTTAGTTTTATTCAATTTTATTTTCCTTTTAGTAAACATTTTAAGCTATACAAAGCAATATAAAATCCAGGGCTCAGAAATATAATTAATGTTACTTAGTTGTTAAATTATCATGATGGGGGTTGGGCGTATAAGTTAGGAGCTTCTCATATCTACTTATTAAAACAAAGACCAAGAGTTAGCAGTGCAGTAGGATGTGAAAGTAAAACATGCCATCATAAATTCTGTTGACTGAGCTAACTGAACTAAAATTAAAATTTGAGTCAGTGAACATATATCCTGACCTGAACCAAATGGTTATTGCACAAGAGATGGGATGCAATCATAATTATATGGCCACTGTTGTTGCCGTAGATCCCACACCAGCATCTGTAGGTGGTGCATCTCCGAGGGGCATGGTGAGGAGAACGCAGAACATCGGGCGTGTGCTAGTAGAGTCTCTACTTTCAGCGCAAACCTTCATAAACGTCCCCTCACAACCGTAGGAGAGCTTCACCACAGAACTAAAAGACAATGTGGAAAAAAAGTACAGAGTAAATTAATTCACCTAAAGGGGGAAAAAGCAATATCATCTGCTTTAACGCTTTAATTAAGATATTCCACTGTACAAAAAAAAAAAAAAAAGTAACCACATTTTTGGCTCAACTACACTCTGATTAAGAGAACAGTCAAAACATTAAATTTCAATTAAAAATATTTTTGTCAGTTTAAGAGTTATGTAGTAGCTGCTTACATATTAAACTACTGTTCAAAACGTTGGTGTCAGTAAAACATTTTTTGGTAATACTTTTATTTATTGTAGCAAGAATGCATCAAATTGATCAAATATTACAGTAATGACATTTACAACATTACAATCTGTATTTTAAATATATGCTGTTCTTTTAAAACTTTCTACTCACCAATTAATTGAGAAAAAAAATGATATTTGAATGATTTCAAAAGCATCGTGACACTGCAGACTGTGGAGTAACAGCTACTGAAAATTCAGCTTTGAGATCACACAAATAAAGTACATGTATAATGTATTCAAGTAAAAAAAATTGTGTTATATATATATATATATATATATATATATTAGTATTTTCAATCAGCGCACTCTTGGTGAGCACAAGAAACACTAAGAAAAATCGTACTGACCCCAAACTTTGTAGTGTATACATTATAGATAGTACTAATATTTATTTATTTATATATATATATATATATATATGTATTTATGTATGTCAGCATCTAAGGCTATCTTTGTGTCAAAAACTAGTACATTATAGAAATCTTTAAAACAAAAGTCAATATTTGAAATAATAGAAATTCATTTAATACTTGGTAGGGTTATGATGGTTAAACATACATGGAGGGGTCATCGGCTCCATTCAGTGAATCAGAGGCAAGGTTACGAGCGATGGTGTGGAAGTGTGTCCATGTGCACGTTCATCTTCATCTCATTCTCCAGAATTTGGACTAGTTGCTGCATGGAAGGCAGGTGGCCTGCCTCCAGCTTGGACCAAACTGGAACATCTAACCAAAAAAATAGCGTTGCCATAGTGAGACACCATTTTGCTAACTTCCGCCAGACTAAACCACCAAATTAGGCTACCGTCACACTGCTTCTCTTTAAAAACTTCAACAAACTTGTATGCCTAACATGTCTAATGGACAGAGATCAACTCTAATTCTTCTGCTTTAATAATTTCTTACATAATACATTGTCTATGTGCTGCTATTCCATAAAAAATTCCCTGGGTTAAAACAGATTATGTTGTTCTGAAAGGGGCCGTACCAAGTATTTTCTAAACTATTTTTAGTAAGTCGGTAGGGTAAAATGTTTTTCCTTTTTTTTTTTTGGTGAAATATACTATATGTGACCCTGGACTCCAGTCTTAAGTGTCAATTTTACGAAATTGGGATTTATGCATCATCTGAACGCTGAATAAATAAGCTTTCCATTGATGTATGGTTTGTTAGGATAGGACAATATTTGGTGGAGATACAACTATTTGAAAATCTGGAATCTGAGGGTGCAAAAAAAATCTAAATTTTGAGAAAATGGCCTTTAAAGTTGTCCAAATGAAGTTCTTAGCAATGTATATTACTAATCAAAAATTAAGTTTTGATATATTTACAGTAGGAAATTTACAAAATATCTTCATGGAACATGATCTTTACTTAATATCCTAATGATTTTTGGCATAAAAGAAAAATCTATAATTTTGACCCATGCAATGTATTTTCGGCTATTGCTACAAATATACCCCAGCGACTTAAGACTGGTTTTGTGCTCCAGGGTCACATATAATATACATACCACAAATAAAACAAATGACTATTATTGTTGTTATAAACAAATATTACATGAACATAAACATATAAATGAACACATTTACGTAATAATATAAACACTCACATTTTGAATCAAATACACTTACCATTGAGCGTGATTTCAAAAGCACCCGTAGACATACACTGATTTTCGATCATATTGCTGAAGAAGAACACCATCATACAGGCATATATCTAAAAAAAAAAAAAAAAAACATCAAATAAGCATTTCTGCAGCTAGTTTGTTTGTATGTGGCTATTGTGTGGATGGTTGATACATGACTTGTGCTACTTTTTCAAACGGAAACACAAAAATTAAAGAAAGCTGAAGGTTAAAATTTTTCTTCTGTACATTGATGCCTACTACATTTCAGAAATAGTGCAGAAACAGTCAAGTGAACATTAACATGAGAGCTTGCTCTTTGGTCCCTAGAGTATTACATTTTTCCTATAACCACAAACGTCACTGAGGTGACAAAGTTACAGACTAATGAGCTCCATGGGGAAAAAGTTTGTATTTGGAACATACTACTCAAACAGGTTTTAGTTAAAAGAACTACAACCTAAACCACCAAATGAAAATATCTCAACAGGAAAAGTCGGAGGTCTTCTTGCCTTATTCTCCTGACTCCAAACCCAGAGACCTGGAGCCTGCATGCCAAATAGAGCAAATGGATCCTTGCCCACAATGATCACGCCGATTAACAACAGCTTAAACATAGACAGAAAGGAAGCAATGTGCCTGGAGGAAAGAAAAAAAAAAAAAAAAAAAAAAAAGAGAGACACTATATAAATAATTCATACACAAACACACACACACACACACTAGTTGAATTACTAGTATGATTGTTGTAGTAGTTGTTTTTTTTTTTTACAGAAACACTAAATGACCAACAATGTCTCAACAATTTTAATAAGACACATATGCCTTCATACATTTTCATGTATTTATGGTCGGTTTTATAATTAAATTATTACTGGTGGTGATCTGTTATTAATAATGGTTCTTATTATCAATGTTAATAAAAACTGCTTAATATTCTGTGGAAACATTTTGCAGGATATTTTGATGAATAGAGTTCAAAAGAACAGCATTTATTGGAAATATAATCTTTTGTAACATCTTACCGTTTTTACCATCCCTTTTGATGCACAATACATATTTTTTTGGAATAAAAGCATTAATTTCTATTAGCAACACACGCATACCTTAAAC